GGCTTAAATTATCTTTTGATTAAAGAAATGGATTCCACATTAATATACTTCTGTATTAAAGCTCACAAATAAATCTTAGGTATCATGCATGTGCATAACTAACACCCAGCTCACTCCATGTGCAAATTGAATGATCTACCTAGCCTGTTCAGTGGGGTGAGTCCAATTATCATGCACAGAAGATGTTTATCTGTGGAATGGTAATAAACTGTTCATAAACTGGCACCAGGGTGGGGCCGTGCCTCTCATTCCAGCACTGCTTTGCTCTACAACTTTGCAATTAGATAGTGGAGATTACAAGCAGCCTAACTCCTTAGCTATGCTTGAATAACTAATTTCAAAGATTTCCTGAGTTTGCATCAACGTGTCGTGTTTACTATTAAACTGGGATTTCTCTGCTCATTTGTGTTTTCATTTTTTCTGTTCTGTGCTTTTCTGGAAACTTGCATAAAATCATCAGTTTGTGACTTGTTGCATTGTACTGATTTATATTATATTTAGGAGCTGAGATCTGAAATGTGCTTAAAAACATAAAATTGAGAAACATAAGGACATGTTTTCACTGTTAGCTGTTTTAATGTTTTGGTAACACTCTTTGGTATCATTTATACCTTTAGATTAAGTAAAACCTAGATATCACATCACGTTGGTTTTTATACATAGCATTTTGTTAATTCCTATTTCTATATTCTTAGCAAAATATTTCAGGTGACTTAGTGTTTTCACACATGAAAATCTTACTATCAAGATTTGATTTATTTAAGAAACTAAGGCCTTGAAGAGTGAATACAGAATCATTGAGGAATTAAAACAACTTCAAGTAAATACAAAATTAAAGTGCTAAGTTTTAACACTAAATTGTAAGTGATGATTCCCATGATGAAACATCTTCAAAACACTATATTTGGAGGTGAATATGGGTAGTGAATTGAATAGTGGCCCCCAAAATAGATATATTGGAGGCTGGAGATTGGAGGCTGCCATCATGTGATGACTTCTTGTTCACATAAACTGTTCTCAGAAGTTGCAGCTGAAATCAGAGATGGACTAAGTGCATGTGATGTGGGCACAATGGTGCTTGCATCAAATAAGCCTATGCCAGTTAGCCCTGTATGCTTCTTAGGGAGCTCTTAATTTACCTATTTGGAAAACTCAGAATGTGAATGTAGATGTGGATGTAAATGTCAATGTCAATGTGAGTTTCCTACTTGGAAACTCAGAATGTGAATTTATTTTGAATAAGGGTCTTTGCTGAAATAATTATTGAGGTAAGGATCTAGAAGAAGTCATCTGAATTAGGTTGGACCCCAAATAAAATGGCAAGTTTCTGTATAAGATGTAGGAAGAAACCGAGTGGCATGTCTACAAGCCAAGGACATGGAGGATTGCCAATAGTCACCAGAAGCTAAGAGAATGTATTCTCTCTGAGACCCTCCAAGAGGAACCTACCCTTCCAGTGCTTTAGTTTTATACCTTTGGCCTGCCAAACAGTGAGAGAATAAAAGTATCTGTTGTTTGAAGTCATCAAATTTGTGATGATTTGTTATAGCAGCCCAAAGAAACTGAGAAACTACTCATGTTCCTGCTTGTTTCTTTATGCTATAGCCAGGCCCACAAGAAGAAGGTGCTTAGGCTAGCCCCCGGGCCTGGGAGAAGGATGACAAACACGTGGGCTAGAGTTATCCTGACCAGGCCCAGTCTTTTTTTTTTTTTTTTTTCCTTTTTTATTGAATGGTAACTATGTACATTAATGCACTTCTGGGGTACAGTGTGGTGTTTTCACACACAATCCGAAAGACTTCCATCAAACTAGTTAACATAGCCTTCATGTCATTTTCTTAGTTATTGTGTTAAAATGTTCATATTCTACTCTTAGAAAGATTCATTTGTACCCTTGTAAGATAAACCACAGAAGTGATCCCTCCAATCCCCCTTCCTCTACCCATTTCCCCCTCCCCTCTCCCTCCCCCCTCCTCACATTCTTAGGCTGTTATTAGGTTATAGCTTTCATATAAAAGGTATAAATTAGTTTCATAATAGGGGTGTGTACATTGGATACTTTTTCTTCCA